TTCTGCCCTCTTCCAGGAGCCTGCCCTCCTCCTTCTGCCTGCCCAGCAGAGCTGCAAGGGTATTCTCGCTTCTCCAGCCACTCGCCGGCCCCAAGGGCTCTTCCTGAGCATCAGACACAAAGGCAAAAACACCTGGAGAAGTTCTTGGTGATCAGGCTGATACGGTGTTACCCACAGTCAGACTTTTCCTCCGTCTGAGTTCTGCTTTTGGAAGCTGTAATGAAAGCTGTTAATATGCCTATCCTGGACTAAATGAACCTAGACATATTTCTATGAGTGTGTAAAAGACTCCTTGCTACCTGCTGTTCAAATCATAGCAAAGTGCAAGATGTTTGTGGAATGGGAGTTGTATAGAAGAACCTGTCTGCTGGGACCCCTGACTGGTGTCTTGGCCATTCTTCTGTCAGCTGTCTCAGTGCAATTGCTTACTTAAGTAATGTTTTTGCTTGGAAATTTTTCATTTCCTCTTTTTTATTTTTTTTCTTACTATTTTTGGGGTAGTGTTTAGGAGTAAAGTAGACCAAAGGAGTGCAAAGAATAAAGGGATTATAAGACATATTCCTTCTTTTTCAGGAAAGATACCTTTTATTTCGTTCCCAGTAAATAAAATCCATTTTCTTTTTAGAGATGAGCATTACCTGAAGTGATCCCAAAGGGCAGGTTAGTTTATATTGTAATGGTGTGATGCCAATGCATGGGCATCTTGTTCTTCTATCTCAGTCAATACTGCTGGGTGTTGGCTTTTATTTGGACATGAGTATTGTAAGAGACAGAGCGTACCATCTCATTTTGCATGACATGGCTATCTTGGGGAAATTTTTAATGTTTGGTTGTGATTCTTGCTGTCTTGGTGGGATGGTTTCTTCAGAAATTTTCAGCTGCACTTGTTTAAGGAAATGTTCCTTTCTAGCCCAGTTTCTCTTTTTTGGTAAACTGTTGACATTATTTTCACTGTTAAAAGAAGAAGTTCTAAGAGAATGGGAACATTAAGGTGTTGCCTACTAACTGCATCAAAAAAGTAAAAGTGAGAATGTGCACAGAGACTGCTGTAGCCAGATGGGCATAGACGACCATGGGAAAATGCAAAGGGCTGATGTGATCTATAATATAAGCAGGGCAGAAGAGATACTGGGGATAACATGACTGCCCCACTCCGGGCACCATGGCAAATTTCTGCTCTTCCTGCCTCTTCCTGGTGGGGCAGGCACTCAGTCTCCCTGGGGAGACCAGAAGCAAATTAGTCAGGCTGCTGAGGTGCAGGGAAGCCAAGATCCATCAAAAGCTATGTGGAAACCACATCCACTGGGCTGGGAGAGAGCCAGCCTTGCCCAGCAGCTGCTGTGTTCCCTTACCACTGCAATAGGAAGAAAATGAGGCTGAAAGAGGGAGAATGGTGGGACATGATCAGCTCTTACATGTGGTGCTAGGTCACTAAAGGTGTTTTCTGTAGGGCATCTCTGCTTTGGAGCCAATGCCCTACATGGTGAAATGCTCAGGCACAGATAAGGTGAACCTCTATTGTAACCTATTCTAATAAGTTAGGAAAGTACATAGTGCAGCATACAGCCTACAGCTAGCAGCAGGTTCTGTTGGATTGGGATTGCCTTCCCATAGCCTGGACCTCAGTAACAGTGCTGAGGTGCAGTTCTCACAAGATAGGAGCATCATTCTTGTGTGAAATTAAATCTTGGTGGCAATTAACAAAGGCAGCCAAGAGAAACGGTGCCAAGCTGGGTGCAGAGCTTTGGATGATGTCAGGCTTTGTGTGTGAGCAGAGAACAGGTTTGTTCAGAAACCAGCAGGGACCAGTGCTGTTCTTATTTATAGACAATTCTTCTGTCATAGACAACAGCATGATGTTTTTGCTGATTTTGACTGTCAAATACGAAAATAGTAAGTCTCAAATCTCAAAGTATGTTTCCTTCTCACTTACACTTGTGGTTTTTTGAGGTTTTTTTTAATCTTGTTTTCCTAAGCCTGAGCTGCCTGTGGACTTTTGATCTGGGCTGCTTTTCTCTCACTGCTGGCACATGCATCCATAAGGGCTGGTGGTGATGGATGTTGCCCACACTACTCTGCTCTGTGCCCAGCACCTTGGAGTTTGGCTAGTTTGCCTTGACACAGAAGAATTAATACGTTTAATTTAAAAATCACAGAATCACATAATTGTTAGGGTTGGAAGGGACCATCTAGTCCTGTCCCCTTGCCAAGGCAGGCCACCCTGAGCAGCTGGCACAGCAACTCACATTTCAGGTGAGTTTGGAACTTCTCCAGAGGGGAAGACTCCACAACCTCCCTGGGCAGCTGTTCCAGTGCTCTGTGATCCTCAATGAGAAGTTCTTCCTCGTGTTGAAATAAAACTTCTTGTGTTTTAGTTTATGGCCATTGCTCCTCCTCCTGTCATTGGGCACCGCTGAAAAGAATCTGGTTCCTCCTCTTGGCACCCCCTTTAAGATTTTTATCTGCATTAAAGAGATCCTCTCTCAGACCTCTCTTCTCCAGACTAAACAGGCCCAGCCCTCGCAGTCTCTTTGTAGCAGGGCATCTCACCCCTCACAAGGGCTTATTTGTTATTTGTTAACTGGTCAGACAGCTCCAACGGGACAAGCTGTCTTGTAGTGGGTCATTTTGGGGCCATGAGGTTAACACTGGTCTGGCATCTCCCAATTGCCAATAAACATCTCACTGTCCAAGTGAGATCTGGAAAGATAAGCTGGATTTCTGACTGACAGACACCTCACTTTACAATTATAAAAGCCGTACCAAACCTCCACAAAGCAGAAGTCTACACATTTCCCTGGAAATATGTGGAGTTTCTCCCCTGAGTAAGGACACTGCTTTGTGGTAACTCTCCTGGAGGCTGAGTGAAGGAATCTGTGAATGTTATTGACATTTCAGTGGGAAGATACTTGTGACTCCTAATACTATTTCTTTTGCTACGTTTTTTAGAGGTACCTTGATATTGTGTATTGTTATGCTGTAATCTACCCCTAGTTGTTTTTAGTTTTATACTGTGTAATAAGTAATTCTGATTAAGATTTTTTGTCTGTTTATCACTCGTCTGTTTAATAAATAATTCATTTTTATAAATAGACCTGATCTGCCATCACTAGAACTTTCAGGCCAGAGTGAACAGTTGCCAAAATCTGAGCCAGTGCTTATCTGAAACTCCCACTCCTCCCATGGTGCTCTTCTTATAAGAGTGATGCTCCAGACTCAAATTGTCCTTGTGGCCTCTGCTACACCCTCTCCTCACCAAAAACTGGGAAATGAGCTCTCTCACCCAGTTTGTTGGGTTAGAAAGCTGACATTACGTTATTCAGCAGAGAGCTACATAGGTATTGCCTCACCAAACATGCTAATTAATTATCAAAACTTTTGACTATTTATACATTTTGGTAAACAAAGGAATTAGTATTCATTGGTTACCAGTTACATCGTTCTCTTATTAATTAGTATTCTATCTTCTATTGGTTAATGATTCGCTCGCTTTTCATGTTAATTAGTTCACATGCTCAGTTTGTCTCTTCTTTTGGGTCAAGGAGTTTCTTGAGTTGGTGGCCTGTGGATCATTGACTGGAGATCCTCCCTATCAGAATTACCTTTTCCCACTTGGAGCTGATTTCAGCACAATTACTGAACATCCCCAGCCGCGCCTGGGAGGGGATTGTCCTGCTTTGCTCTGCTCTGGGGCAGCCTCACATGGAATATTGTGTGAAGTTTCGGGTGCCACACTGTAAGAAAGACATTAAACTATGAGAGTGTCCAAAGGAGGGCACGAGGATGGTGAAGGGCCTTGAGGGGAAGCCGTGTGAGGAGCAGCTGAGGACACTTGGTCTGTTCAGCTGGAGGAGACCGAGGGCAGACATCGCAGTCACAGCTTCTCCTGAGGGGAAGAGCAGGGGCAGGCACTGAGCTCTGCTCTCTGGGACCGGGGACAGCACCTGGGAACGGCTGGAGCTGGGTCAGGGGAGGGTCAGACTGGATATCAGGGAAAGGTTTTTCCCCCAGAGGGTGTGGAGCACTGAACAGGCTCCCCAGGGAATGGTCACAGCCCCAAGGCTGCCAGAGCTCCAGGAGCGTTTGGACAACGCTCCCAGGGATGCACAGGGTAGGATTGTTGGGGTGTCTGTGCAGGTCCAGGAGCTGGACTCAATGATCCTTGTGGGTCCCTCCCAACTCAGGTTATTCGGTCATAGGCTCCTTTTTAAAGCAATATAACTTGTCCGGTAACACAGAGCAGCACAGAAGGGGGCACAGCACTACAGATACTGGCCTCACTAGGGCCGAGCAGCAGAGGAGGATCTCTTTCCCTGCCCACACACATCAGCGATACTCCGCCGCATCCCGAGGCCCCGTGCCGGCTCCGGCCGGGCACAGCCGAACAGTCCCGGCCCCGCAGCCCCGAGCCGGGCCCCGCCCGCCGGGCGGAGCCGCCGTGACCCGGCGCAGCCGGAACCCCGTGGGCGGCGGCGGCCCCCGCGCTGCGGCGGGCGGGGGACGGAGGCAGCGCCATGGGCGCGGAGCAGAGCGCCGAGGCCGAGAGCCGCCCGGGCGAGCCCAGCGCCGCAGGTCGGTGCCTGGCAGGGAGCGAGGGCGCGGGGCTGTGCCGGCAGAGCGGCTGTGGAGAAGGGCACGGCTGTTTCCTTGGGAGGGACAGCGGCTGTGCAGAAGGGAAGGGTTGTGCAGAAGGGAAGGGCTGTTTCTCCGGGAGGCAGCGGCGGCCCGGCCCGGCCCGGCCCTTCCTGTGACGGCGCGGGGGCACCGCCCGGGCCGGGGGAGCAGAGCAGGGGATGGGGAGCGCCCCGGCTGCAGGAGCGAGCAGTGATGCAGGTGTTCCGCAATCAGCTGCTCCCCGGTGTGCAGAGGGAAAGGAGCGTAGAGCCCTTCAGTGATCTCGGCAATGGACTATAGAAAGCATAGCCGTGCAATGTTAAATAGAGCAATAATCGCATAGGGTTCTATTCTGGTGGAATCGGCTTATAAAGTTGATTCTTCCCTCTCCCTCCCATATCCAGCATCTCCGTTACCAGCCAAGCAACGAGCAAAAATGGACGACATTGTGGTCGTAGCCCCAGGAACACAATCCTCACGGAATGTCAGCAATGATCCAGATGTCATAAAACTGCAGGAAATTCCAACTTTCCAGCCCCTTTTGAAAGGTAAATGATTTTTCTTCCTCTGTTTTTAAATTCCATCTTTTTTTGTACCTGATGGAGTCTGTGTACCCTGAGGTTTCTACTGAAGTTCGTATTTCTGTCCCTATTTTTCACTTCCCCTCTTGTTTTAAACCTTACTCTTTTGTTATACCATAATTAATCCCAGCCTTCTAAACAGTGGGTGAGCTGGTTTAGAGGTGGCTGGTCATGTTCTCTGTAAAGGAATCATCTGCTGTGAAGACAGAACAGCTCCAAGCATACCAGCTTGCCCTGTACCACTGGTTGATGAGAGATGCTGTGTTATATTCTAATATGTAATGGATGACAGTCTCTTGTTTTGCTCTAGTCTTTTAAAAACAGTTGTGTGTTACTCTCAGAGTCATAGCTACCTGTGTATGTGTTAAGCTGCTTGAAATCAAGGTACCTTGTGTGAGTTTCCAACGCAGAGCAGATTTTATTCTTTTTTTTTTTTTTGCAATGGGGTAGATGAGCTGAGATTTTTCTTTGTTTCTTTTCCTCCCACTCTTTTTCTTTCATCCCTTGTGCTCATTCTTTGTTTCTTCTGTTCAAAGGGAAACGAAGATTTTAATCGAAATTGTTGAGCTTGCATTTAACAAAAACTGTGTGTATTTTATGGCCTGGCTTCTAGCTATCTCTTTTTGAGGAGAATGCAGAGTGGCCTTAGTATCTGAAAAGGCATCACTAGAGGTAATCTACTAGAGGTAGGATCACACCACCACTTTTTGGACAGAAAGTATTAATTTTTTGTTTGTTTGTGTATGCCTACTGCATGAGGGTCCTGGAACATGACTTGCAGACATTATGATAGCCTATTGGGCCAAACACTTAACATTTTATTGGGCATTTTATTTTATGAGTAAGTTCTGGATGTGCATGGCAGTGACTGCTATTTCCTGCAGAAGGGGCAGAAAGATAGGGAGGCCATGAAAAAAAGCAGAACACTCTTCGCCCATAAAGCAAATGCTTTGTTCTGCTTTGTGTGTAAGGCAGAACCAGTGTCATGCTAGCGACAGCTTGAAATGTAAATGCTGGAATCCAAATCCCTAAAAGAAACGAGGAAGTTTTAATATGAGAGAAAAAAATTTAGAAGATGCTTCAATGTCTGGTACCCAAGTTGTTGTGTGTGTGTAAGAGTGTGATGACAAAGAGTTTCAGTTCCACACAGCCTCAAACTCATGAGCCATCCTGAGTTGCACAAGCCCTGTGGAAGGTAGTCCTGGGAAGTGAGACTGGTGATCACTTCCAGCGATGGTGTTCCTGAGAGGCTCTTAAGAGTCTCAAAGGTCCAGAGCTTGAGGTGGGAAGTGAGAAAGAAGAGCAACATGTGGCTGTGATGGAAAGGTTGGAAGGCACAACCTTAAATGACCAGTCCAGGTCCTTCAGGTCCTAAATGTGCACACTTTAAGTTGTCTTGGTGGCTCAGTTGCTTTTTCTGGCCTTACTTTGAACCTGAAACTGTGGATGTATGATAGAAACTTCTCTTCTGTTTTTGTCACTCTGCTTCCCTACGAGTCTCCTGAGATGTGGTGACATCTGGTGACTGCTCAAGTGCATGCTGAACATGTTTTGTGAACACCTTTTTCAGCCTCAAGTACTTGTTATTATTTGAACAACCAGACTGTGATACTTGTCTTCACTACAGAAAGGAGTGTGGGCCTGTTGAGTGAGTTGACTCTTAAGAGATGGCAGATCTACCACAGGCCCACTTGAGAATCTGCTCTGTTTTGGACTGGTCTTTTATCTGTATTTTTCCCATGCAAGATTATGTTTCTGGAAAGGTTGAAGAAGTTTCAAGATATTTTAGGAGCTCATTCTAAAAACTTGTGTCTTGTGATCTACCAGCTTGCAGGTAGACTTACAGTCCCTGTTGACTTCATTGTTCTATTCAGTTTCTCCTTGCCTAAGCAAAGCCAAGGGATTTTATTTTGCTTTTAAGTTTTAAAAGGGGAATAATCATTAAATAAATGGACTGGCGAAATACACATGCTCATATAAACACTGCATGTTCTTGAGAAACAAATGCTCTTGTTCCTTCTAGCCATATTGAGTTGAGCTTGTGATCAGTGAACCTGGAAATCTTTACCATTGTGCACTCTCACTTGGAAGAATGCCAGTGTCCTGTCCATTACATCTTTCATGCATTTCCTTAATTTCTACAGGGAAAGTTTGCACCTTAGAGTTACAGCTATGACCTCTTATAAAAAGTCCCTCTCCATCTTTCTTGTAGGCTCATTTCAGGTACTGGAAAGCTGCTGTGAGGTTGCTCAAAGCTCTGTCCAACTTGCCCTTGAAGATTCCTCATGATCTGGACAGCCTGTTCCAGTATCTTGCCAGCTTCATCATAAAAATAATTTCTTCCTTATGTCCAATCTGAACCTACCCTCTTTGGTTTAAAACCTTTGTCCTTGCTCCTTCATTGCAGGCCTAGGCAAAAAGTCTCTCTCTTTTCTACAGGCTTTGGAGGCTTTTTTGGGAAAGAAACGTTTTCCTGCTTATGGCTAGAACTGTGCACTAGTAAAAGTATTCAGCATGAAGAAGCAGAAGAAACAGAGGTTACTATCTCACTGCAAAGGCACTGTGTGAGCAGCATTCTTTGCATACTGTGCCTCCTCCTGTTCCCATAGGATTTTGTGATTAGTTTGCTTTCCAATCTCATTTAATGGTTCTTCAGGTCAGCCTGGTGTTATTGTGACCATCTGAGATTCCTGACTGGTTGACAAAAGCTGCCAGATAGGCAGTGACTGTCAGCTGCTGCTGGCAGGTCAGGGAGGACTGTGACCTCCCTCTGGGTGGGTCTGATACATTAAAATTAACCTGTAACTAAAACAGCACCTGCAGTTACTTGAAACAAACTCTTGGTAACTGGTCCCCTGTAAGTACTGGTTATGTCTTTTTACTGCTCTTTCCCTTGCCATTTCCTCCTTGTTTGGAGGAAACTGTTATGGCAGCATCCCTTGGAAGTATGATACTGAGTTTTGAGTAATACTGTGAGTTTACTGAATATGGCCTTGTGATTATTTAGAGATAATTCAGCAGCCCTGTTTTGTGTTCTGACTTATTTCTGGGGGAAACCTTAATACTTAATAATAATGAGCAATTTTAATGCTAGATATTTAACTGTTGAAGCTGTTGGTGGTGCCTGCTTGGCCTCCTGCAAGAACATGATGATACTTTCTGTTTTGTTTTGTCTGATGGTGTTTGGTTTGTTGTATGCAAATTCCCAAGAGAGCAGGGATTGTTTCTGTGAATTAAGCAATGTGCTGATGTGCTGCTGGAGGCTGGCCTGTGAACAGTTCAGCTGTGTCACAAGCAAATTGTGTTTGTGTGTGCAGCATATCTTCTGTCATAGGAACTCCTGGTCCCTCAAGCACTGAGGGGAAAAAAGGTCAGCAGAGGGTGCTGAGGCTCACCTGCATTCCCAGAGGTATCACGTAGATGAGAGGTGTCTTTTTTGCAGACATTCAGCAAGATGCTTTTGCACTCCATTCCTTTGTCAAACAGAGATGGTCTTCATCTTACAGCCTTGTGAAGGGTATTGTGTGCAGCTCATCAGCATCCTTTAGCCCAGAATAACTGGATTCTTGTCCTACAAATAATCCTGCTGTTTTTCTAAGAATACCAAATAATGGGAAGAGGTTGCTCAGTAGGGTTATGGCACTTCTGGCTGTAAATTTTTAAGGGCATATTAAGTAAAGATCTATCAGTCATGAACTGGAAGTAAATGGATCCATTAAGGAGTATTCAGTGTGAACTTCACTTACTGTGCTGCTTGTTACCCATGTTTATTATTGTTGCTTATTAAGAAAGGCATTTCATAAAGAACACAGTGAGATTTCTACTCTGAAAAGTCAAGGCTATAGTTTACCTGGAAGTGTGCAACAAGGAAACCCAAGTTACATGGCAGAAAGAGTAGGTCCAGCATAAGGAGTTTCCCTTTAGGCTTAATATATTTTGAAGTGGAAAACTTGTGTATTACAGCTGGTGTACGTCTTCAGCCGAGAAGCACAGGGAGATACTGGGAAATCTGGGGTGCTATACTGTGAAATCTTGTGTGATGCTGTACTGATGCTCCAAGGATCTTCCCTTGTCCTCCAGGGACAGGAAATGGAAGTTTGTGCTGCCTTAAAAAGATTGTTTATACTTTTATAACTTCTTTTTTGAAGTAATTTTTTCAAGTAGGAAAGCTACTTGTCTAAAAAATGCCAGTGTATTTTTTTCTTCCTGGCATAGTGTGTAAAGGAAGGATGGATGTTTAGAGTTTACTGCATTTAAAGCAAGATTTTGTCACATCTCACTCCTCAGTATTTTCTTACATTCTCTTCTTCCCCTTTCCTCACTGTATGCTCCTACTTTGGTTTATAGTGTAGGGAATTTAGCCTAATAGCACATGTCAGTGAACTTTATTCCTATAATTCTCTACACATGGTACTTGAATACTTTTATAATTCTGTCCCTGTGGCTTAGAAGGAGGATCTGCTGCTGAGGGTATAGGTCTCTACTAGAATTTGAATCATCCAAGTTGGTTGGATGGACCTCATGCCTAGAACTTGTAACAAAATGTGCATGTTGGGTGGAAAGAAGTACCAAGAATGTGAATGCATCTGCCTGGTGAGTTTGAGTATTTTTTATTGTTATTTTGTTTGTTAGTGGGGTTGTTTTTTTGGTGCGGGCTTCTTTTTTTTTTTTTTTTTAGGCTTGTACAGCAGTATTCTGTATGTAGAGATCTGTCTCTCCATTTTGAATTCATGACTTGAAAGTAGCTCGTGAAATCAGAATCTAGAAGATGCATCAGTTTTGAGGAATGGAGCTTTCCCTTCAAAGGACTGCTGAAGGAGTGGATGAAAATGATGTCTGACTGACTTCCATGTATTCCTCAGTTTCTTGTGGGTGTTTGGAGACGTGAACTAACTCAGTTTTCTGTGTGAGAGGATTTGAGTCCATGATTAGACATTATCCAAACAATATGCTTAACACCCATAGGG